CCTTTATAAAATGCAATGGAAAGTGATCAATTCTGCATAGTGAATTTGTTGCTTAAACTGCCTTATAATATTATATAATTGTATATATAATTGTGTTGTAAGTTTATAGAGATTGTAATGTATTGTCTTATTTTTTCTTATTTCCAGAAATCAACTGGGTAGGTCATAAATGGTGATCATGTGACCCCAAAATGTTAAAACCATCATAAACACATGCTGGTTGCCAAATACCTGAATTCTGATTGTGGATGGGAATGCTGTGATGGTCATAAGTATGAGGATTTGTCATAAGTCACTTTTTCAATTCTGTGGAAACTTTGAACAGCTGCTAACCAAATGGTTATAAGTCAAAGACTCCCTGTATAGTCCTTCCTTTCCAAGGGATGACCTGAATCTAAGGCAATTCTATAAGAGGTTAGAAAAAGCTGCTCTAAAACCTGACAATGGTTCATCCAATTTACAATTTTGAGAGCTTCTTATATATAACTCCAAGCTAACTAGCTAACTCTAGCCCAAATAGGGGCTATAGGGTCGTAAAAAGGGTTTGTGTGCTGTGTGTATCTATTTGTGTATATACATATATGTATTCATATTAGTTTTTTGTGTGAGTGCTTGGAAAGTTTATGACCTTTTATGACTAAAGATCCCCAATACTAACCACAATAAATCCATATAAATAAAATTAAATAAAATAAAATAGAGCTCCCTACAGGTTATTCCTATACAAAGATAGCACACTGAAATAATTTGCCAATTTTTCTTGTCATCCATTCCTGACATGCTTATAAAAATAATAAAAAGCCTTTCTACTCTTTTGTCCAGCAGAACAAAAGCAACATTTTCTGCTGATTGATAGCAATAAATATACCCTAGATGCTATAGCTGAAATACTTTAAAAAGCATTTATGACCATCTCATTCAACACATCTCTATTTCATAAATTAAAAGAGAGGTGTCCAGCTCACAAGCATCTTCAATATCAGCACTCAAGCTCAATCAAGTTAGTCATATTACCATACCTATAGCATAGAGATAACAGATCGATGATTTTCAGCTTCCAATACTTAAATATAGATTTAATAGACATTTATAGAAGAAGAAAAACAGTATTTCAATATCTGGTGTTTTATAAAGTTATGAACCTCTCAGGATGCCTATGCGTGAAATTGCCTTCAGAGTCCCAATTACTCACAAAACTGACAGAGCACATATATCCTTTGGGACAAGAACTATCAATGACCCATCTATGGATTCCTCAAGCAATGCCTTCAGGGCAGCATAACCAGACTGTCCCAATCTGACTTGGCCCTGGCATTTTTTTTCTTTTTCATTTCTTTAATTGCCCTTGCTATTTTGCTCATTTGCAGAGCAGCCTGCAGCACATCAATCTAAGCCAAAGGAATTACTTTTCTCCAATAAGCTGACAGAGAATTATCCTCAGAGTCTTTCTCCTACTCATGTTTTTGTTTGTTCATATAATAATAAATGGAAATGTTTCTTTTAAAATGTTGCTAGCAAATCTCTCAAGTCCACTAAATAAAACATTGTTTTATGGGAAGGATCTGTTAAGTATTGCCATGTTGGTTCAATGCATAATTCCATAAGTTATTTTAGACACATATTGTTCTGATCAATGGATTTAATTTCTTCCTTTAACCTAACATCTTTCCCTTGTGTGGCACTGACACATCTACCAAGTTTAGATTTTCATCTAAAAGATATATCTCACTCCTTCAGTGACTTTATAACATGTTGCTAGGTAACAGTGCACACAAGTCAAGTTTGAGGACCTTTTTGTTAAAGACACTAAAAAAATGCTTTGGTCCTCTTTGCATGAGAGATCTCATCTGGGTCCTTCGTATTTCTGTTTGCTAAACACTACAGAACTGCTTATCAATTTCTGAATTAAAAAACAGGCAACAAAAGAGAAGATATATTCAGTTTTCAGTTTCTATTATTTCTCTCTCCATGCAAAATTTGTTTTTATATCTATTTCAAGCCGTATTATTCATTTATTACATATAAAGCACAACCTAATATCATATCATTTAATTTAGGGCATGAACTTAAAACAATATAATTTAAAATATGGGGTAAATGTAACAAAGAAGTTACAAACTGATTATTGGTATAAGCGTGGCTTTAAAAAAGATCAACATCTTAAGAGAAATCATTTCCCTTTCTTCCAAATCAGTGTGCTTTAACAGAGGAAAATATCAACATGTTTCTAACTCTCTCTAATATATCTCTAAGTAGATTTCACTATGGAATTTACTCTTTTGCAGGCATTTTATAAGACTGTACCTTGAAAAAGCTAGAATAAAACATTTCATTAATTCCATCATTTTCATGTTTCTCAGAACTGCATTCATTCAGTTTCTTTTATTCGTGGTTTTTCTTTCCACCCTTCCATCCTATGTTTATTCCACCCTGGAGTAAAAGGATTAAGAGCATATTGAAAGACTCAACCAAATTCCTATGTGATCTCCACTACCTTGTGTACTTGGCAGTTACTGGGGAAAGGGCCTTCCCAGAATGCCGAGGAATGCTTTCACTACAAAGGTTAGCAAAGCACCTACCCAGATGTCATTTTTCAAATGTCAGGCAAATAATTTTGTACGTTTTTACATCCTGTAAATCAATTTAAGCTGTTTCATTTTGCTAGTTGTTTCTATTACATATTTTCAGTTTTCATGGCATTTTTGAAGTGCTTTAAACCACCCAAAGCATTTTAAATGATCAGACTATAAATACAGAACAGAACAACCTTAACATTGGCCTCTTTGGCCAAGCAAAATGGGAGAAAGCTGTTCACAGTGAAGGAGCTGAAGAATGCAGTTACCCATGTTTAGCAGTAGAAGTAGAAGAGCTTAGATACTGTGGATCAAACATTTCCTTAAGTCTACTCCGGAATCTCCATTTATGTTATTACTGCTGAAAGCATTACAATTTGTCTTTCCTTGGATGTAAGAAGAATCATGAAAATGCTTCTTATAACCATCACTTTATTCTGCAATTGGGGGAAAAAGGGGAAGATATCCCATACTGTAGCTCCCTGAGAAACTTTTCTCATCCTCAGGACATAAAACTTCATTTTAAAGTGAATTAATAGATATAAAATATCAGTGAGGAATTACCAAAGAAAGGGTTGTATACATTCTGATCCTCCAATTCATTTAGCATTCACATTTACTGAGATGCAGCGTACATAGGTGATCCATTAATGTCCATTGAAAAGGGCGTTGTCAGTCTTCAAAAGTATGAAGAGCTACACAACAAACTTCACAAATATCTTTTCTCTATAGCAGCTTCTGAAAATTTTTTGGCCTTAAATCACAATAAAGTAGCTGCCAGTTTTTTTTTTCTTTCTTTAGTAAATGTTGAGTGAGGAAATAGTAAGAAGAATCCTGACCGTGGAGGCATAGAGAAGATTATAGCCTTTTTTTTAAAGTAACATAAATGTTACGTAAAAGTTTTGAATGTGTCAAGAAACAATGTATGTATGTACCTTACTAAGTAAGAGCGTTGTAATGACAGATATTCAGTATGCCATCGGTGATACCCTGACACATGTGTCAGTAATCTCTCTGGCTGTAGCTTCAGGATTCACCTAAGATTATTAGTGTAAGTGCTGCTGTGTTGTTACAACAATCGAAAATAAAACTATTTGTTTTAAAAAATGCTCAGATTCAAAAGCTAGAATCTATCCACCGATTTATTTCCAAAGCAGTATTACAGAGCAACCTGAGTCTAAGTAGTCAGCATGACTAGACGTTGCCTGAACCCAGTTGAAATTGTACTACTGTACATCATAGCCTCAATAATTTCTGCAACTAGATTCATTGGGAGATTAGGAAATTGGACCAAGTCTATACTCCCACTGTAATATGTCCTTTTACATGTAAAAAAATGGGAGTAGATAAAAGTCAATTAAAGCTTACTCAACCAGTTTCAGAAGTGAATTAGTTCAACTTTCAATGCAGAGGAGGCTGCGCAACAACGTTGCTGAGTTTCCTTTGGAGCTGCAGGGTGAAGTAGTTTCCTATTGGTAGGAACTTTTGTTTTATCCTGTTTCTGGGTTGTCTCCCTTTTCAAAAGCCAAGGTATCATGGTGCCTTGGCTTCTTTCTATCCTCGCTACAAGATTTCTTTTAAAAAAAAATTGAAAAAAATTGGAAACAGAAACAGCTGAGATTCATTCTCAAAAAACAGAACAGCAGGGGCACAAAAACACTCTTATCATTTCAGGGGAAGTACAATGAACACACTGAGGTTCATTTCTGAATCACCAAATATTTGAAGTGTTTAATAAAGCAATCTGCATACATTCCTATATCAAACTCTTTATTTGTTCTTCTTGGAGTAATACTGAGATTTAAATTTAGCTACTCTGTGAATTTTGTACTTTTTCAAATATTAATGATAAAATTCTTGGCAATATAAGCTTAGGTGCTTTTAGATGCAACCCACAGTGTAGAGAACCTTTTGGGCGCAAAGTGTTCACCACAGTGCACAGCTACCAAAATAGTTATGTTAGTTGATAGGATCAGTTGTAGACATCCATTCACCAAATAATGAACTATACTCCTAAGAAACTCTCTCCTAGTGCTGTGGGTCACTGGTGGCATCCAGAGGCAATCCTGAAAATAATTATGTATGTATAATGCATTATTTTGAGAGAAAATAGCATTTAAGACATGGGTGTCCAACATTTTGGCTTACTTGGGTCACACTGAATGAAGAGTAACCTTTTTGGGCCGCATATAAAATACATAATATAGTTTTATACTATAAAATCACATAATAATGTTAAACGTTTGTGGGGCTGCATTACTAGTTGTCTAAACTGCATGAGCCCCCCCAGACTATGGATTGGACACAGCTGATTTAAGATGCCGGGAAATATATTTTAATAACCTGAAGAGACTATTATTTTCATGATATAAAAAAGCATAAGAAAATGGCCCGACCTAGAGAGAAAAAACTTTTGTTTATCTTTACCTGAAAGTTTCATGAGAAAATCTGAAGCCATCTTGACCGATATATCTTGACTGAAAAGTGCTGATGCTGTATTGGTCACAAAGTCAATTGAGTCTTTTAGCTTTGTACTGTTGGCAATTCTGTCAACAACATTGAGGGCTAAAGAGGGGCTAGGGGCACTGCTGTCATCTTTGGGTTCTTCTTTGACTAGCAGAGGTGGAATGATAGTTCCCACCTGCCCAAGTGCATCAGGAGATCTAGAGGCAGCAGTAGTCCCTACATGGTCTGTTCCTCCATCCACCTCCTGACCCATTCTGGAGTTGTCACTCAGTAGTGGTGAGACCTTGACATCCATTTCTGGAATCTCTTCCTTCACTTTGGCTTCTGTTCTCAGAAAGTGTTGGTGGCAACGCATGTGGAGTTTCAGACTGAAATGGCGAGAGGAAGTAAATGGACACAGCTGGCACTGAAATGTCTCTCCCCGGTCCTGGTGTTGGTGAACCTAATTCAGTAATAACAACAACAGTGATAACAGCACATCTCTCAGATAAATACAAATCCCTTGTTAAGATCATAGCGATCTGCAAATGAATTATAAGGACTGTGCGTAGGTAAAAAAAAGTGTCAGTAGAAGTTATGTATATTCAGTAAACTGATATTCTAATATACTCTATTACTGTACAATTCTCATAAAATTCAATTGACAGTGATAAGAAGATTATGGGAGTTATCATCTAAGGTACATATATAGAGCATCAGGCTAGTTACCACTTACTGATTTATCATCTCCCTTCCTGCCCTGATTTTTTTTTTTTACTTATGTTCTGTACATTTCATTTGAGGATCTCAATGTTTTAACAGAGAAGGTCAGCATATAGAGCTCAAAGTGGTTGTCCTTCTATATACAAGTTATTAAACACCAGACTACAAAACTCATTGTTTCCCAAGTTATGTCCAAAACCAAGTATTTCCTAGGATGTGTATATATACAGTACCTGTGTGAGTATACACACACACATTTAAAGACAAATTATTTGATGATGTCTCAAAGATAGTAGTAGTTAGATCAGTACTTTTATGATTATAACATCATAGAGTTGGAAAGGCAATTTAGATACCAAATCTACTTCATTGCTCTACATAAAAATCCACATTCAAACAGTCTTGAGAAACACCTATTACCCTCTGTTTGAACAAATGCAACAGAGTGAAGCCCAATAATATCTCTCAATTCTTCTGCTAGACAAAATGAATTTATAACAATCATATTAATTATGAAAAATATACTGCTTTTCATTAAGAGTTGCTTTAAAATCCTCAACAGCAATTTTAGAGACTAAATTTTTTAAATGCCACAATTTACCAGTCTTACCTTCATATGTGACTTCAAATTGTCTTTCCGTGCACAACGAAATGGACACAAAGGACACTGATGACTTTTTAAGCCTGTGTGGATCACCATGTGCCGTTTCCAGTAGCTCTTCCTTTTTATAACCAAGCCACAGATTGGACATTGGAAAGGTTTTCCACTTTCTTCTTCTGAGGCTTGGAAAAAAAGAAAAAAGGAGGGAATTTATCATGAATTTATTTCCATTTTACAGTTTTTCAATTTTATGACAAACTGAGTATTTTTTTTCAAAATGTTCAGGTACCTTTGGATACAGAACTTTGAAGCCACCTATTACACCTATTATAATATTTTAAATCTTATTAAATGCAGTGGAATTTTAATCCCCATTTTTCTGACATGGAAATTAAATGGTCCAAAAAAACAAACAAACCCGATACTAAACGATACAGGACAAGGCCCAATCATACTTTGAACAACCAGCAGAGGATGCTACTGTTCTTTACCTAGTCTTATAATTCACAGCTAATTTGTCAGCTCTTGATGTATGTAACATTATAAAAGTGTCTTTTTTCACTTTAGTATTTGCAATCCACCAAGAAACAATAAAATAACATTATCAGGTATCCCCAAATCTGACTTAAGAACTGAGTTAAGAGAGTGATATATTCTAGTATTGAGAGATTCCAAAATCACTCTTGATGATTGGTTTCATCCTGAAAAATCTAAGACCTCAATTTCATTCCAGATAAAGAGACAGTATTTAGTTTTTGTTCAACTGTTTTATTAGTGCAGTAATGTTGAAAAAATTAACTTGAGCCAAAGGCAACACAACACAGCCCAAGAACCTCTTTGTGTGTAGATAAATATAAATAATTTATTTTAGAGTAATTTAAGCAAGCCAAATTTAATATCTCTAGCTAAAGGGGACTATATAAATTGCTGCTTCTTTTTCATAGACAAAGGTGCTAAAATAATCAAAGAGGATTTATATCAGAGAAAATTTTCATCCTCCTTCGTTATGTTGGTCTATTGAAAATCTAGAATAGAATCCTGAAAATTAGCCCTCAACTAGTAGAGTGGAGAATTCACTTCACCCACATTAAGAATTCATTTTACATTTTAATGTAATGAAGTCTCACCCAACACTAGTTTCTGCAACAATGCTTACAGTGTCAAGCTTAACCCGGAATGGTGTTCTTTATACTTCCTGGATAACTTAAAAGTAAAGTTCTTTGAAGATAGTCCAAGAAAACTAACATTGAAGTGTCTCTCTCTAGTTTATTACAAAGCAGAACTAGAAATTTTAACTTTTTTATCTCATATACAAAGGCAAACTTTTAGCCCAGGTCAAATTGGGATTTTCATCCATTTTGTGGCCAATACATCACGAATGGACTGAATTAATTAGTATGTAATATTAATCTAGATTGCAGTATAAGCAAGACAAGCCGTAACATCTAACTCCTTGTATTTAACTATAAACCCCAATATAATCTGTTTTTGACTTAGCATGTGTGAAACCACCTGTTGTGGAACAGTAATGAGAATGTTGATATGTAATATTGACCTCTAATATAATCATCATGAAAATATTAAATTCATATGAACATTCTTGCCCTAAGTTGTTATAAAATTTGGGGTTGAGTTTGCTGTAAGATTTTGCCAACTCTCAGGGGGATTTTATGCCATTGTGTAGTATTCAAATCAGTTTATTACAGCCATATGGCCAGAAACAGTAAAATATCCAATTGTATGCTTCTTACATACATATATAAAAATGCACTGAGCATGATCTAATGATGAATAAGAACACATATAACAAAATTAATTTAAAAAATTATTAAAAGGATCTAACAATATTTATCTTATTTATGTTTCCGACGAATCCCTAGTGCTGCTGTGCAGAATCTAGCCATCTGCGCCGTAATCACAGCCTATTCGTCCTTAAGCAACCACTGGAGATAAGTAGTGTCAGAAACCTATTGATTATTGGGAGGATATGGTTTTTTCGAATATCTCTATAGAAAGAGCATTGAAGGAGTACGTGTCCAACAGTCTCCACCTCTCCTGAGCCACGGGAGCAGTCTTTCAGTCAATGGTATTACTTGCCGTACAGGACGGATGGAAGCGCATGGCACCGTGCAAATGAAAACGCTTTCCGGTGGTTTGCTGACTCCAACTTGCTAAGATAACTGGCAGGAGTAGCAACATATCTAATAAAAGTCTGGAGCCAGAAACAGCGGAGCTATCCCTAAGTCCGTTTGCCTCTCGATGTCCTCTACCCTTTGTTGCAAGGTTTGTTTTGCTTGGTCATAGTCCAATTTGAGTATCAAGGCTGGAGAGAAGCCTAGTTTGGCAAGGTTGGACTCGACTGCCTTGATCCATGATGAGGAAAATTTGTCTTGGAGGATTAATGGAGCAAGGCCTTGCGGAAAGAAATTAAGCTTTAGCCAGATATTTAAAGACGCTATACAGATTCTTGCTTCAACTTTTATCAATCCTGTGTAATATTGTAGCATAGTAACTAGGGCCAGAAAAAGTTGCTGATTCATGCATCAATTAACCATTCCATTGGGCATATTCAAATTACATGAATCAAAAGGAAAAAGGAAAAAAAAACGTTCCAAACTCTTGTTTTAATAGACTGATTTGTATACAGGTAGTCCTCGACTTATGACCACAACTGAGCCCAAAATTTTTGTTCTTAAGTGAAATATTTGTTAAGTGAGTTTTGCTCCATTTTATTGACCTTTCTTGCCACAGTTGTTAACGGAATCACTGCAGTTGATAAGTTAGTAACACAGTTGTTAAGTGAATCTGACTTCCCCATTGACTGTGCTTGTGAGAAGATCGCAAAAGGTAATCACATGACACTGGGACACAGCAACGATTGTAAATATGAACCAGCTGCAGAGCATCTGAATTTTGATCACATGATCATGGGGATGCTGCAAAGGTCATAACTGTGAAAAATGGTCTTAAGTCATATTTTTCAGTGTTGTTGTATCTTTGAATGGCAACTAAATGTTGTAAGTCAAAGATTACCTGTATTATTATGATAATTTACTTCTAATTTTATTTTTACAAATAGAACCTATGTATTAAGTTTTGCCTTTATATATGAGGCTATTATATACCATTGTTGCAAATGATATCAAGACAAAGGATAGTCTGGAACTCTTTGAAAAAGTGTAATAAGTTTATGAGATAATCATTAGGTTAAGTCTTCTAAAGAGATGTGAGGATTCTGCCAACTGCATTGACATAATTAACCATCTGACAATACACTGCACATTTCTAGTTCTGTTTAAGTTTATAATGTTACTGTAGCAACAGAAAATATTTCTGTGACTGCTGAAAGGATATCTGATTATTTTCAAAACTTTCAAAATCCGAGGCATACTCTCAGAATATTAAAATCCAATGCCTAATGCATTCATTAGCTTTTGGTCTTACTTGAAAAACTGAAATGTTACTAGTTCTAATGTTCTGGAATTAAGTGATAAAAGCTGCATGTTCTCGTAATTTCCTGCATGTACTAACCTATAAAGAATGCTTTTATGATCTAGCAATAGCACTTAAACCTATATACTGCACCTCCCCACAGTGCTTTACAGCACTTTCTGGGTGGTTTACAACATTCAGCATATTGCTCCCAACAATCTGGGTCATTTTTTTAATTTTATTTAAATTTAAGTACTTTATTTTTTTAAATATTATCAGAGTAGTAAACAGTAAAATCTGGCTTAGCATCCCAATATATTACTTATCATGGACATCTGCTACAAAATAATTTTGTCGCTTAAAAGGATGTGATGACACAAATTCCTTCCTTAGGTACTTGCAGCTAATGTACATTTCTTTGTTGCACTCCTTCATGGACACCTATATGCACATTCATTCAATTTAAATATTGAAATATTATTTAATACATTCCATTTTTCCCCAGGAGGTCAAAGCAGCACATATGGAGTTCCCTTCTCCTTTTATCTCAACAACAAACCTATAAGGTAGACTGAGCTAAAACAGAATGATTGTTCCAAAGAGAAGAAGTTACCTCATGTTGAAAGGAAACCTTAAGCTGACCTCTAATTGCAGGGAACATCTATTGAAAGCATGGGTTTGTAGGTGGAGGTCACTCTCTATTTTCTGTTCATTAAAGATCATGGATATGTGTGCCTTTTTTCCAGCACTATGTTGTTTATGTATATTTGGAGGCTCAAAGGGATTCTCTGGGATTCACTACTAAGTAAATTAATTTAAAGAAGCAGGGTTAATACATTTAGGCATTTCATTTGTTTTTAAATGCCCACTTTGGAAAGTGAGTACAGATAATCTTTGATTTATGACCATATTTGAGTCCAAAATTTCTGTTGCTAAGCAAGACAGTTATTAAGTGAGTTTTGCTCCATTTTATGATTTTTTTTAACCATAGTTGTTAAGTGAATCACTGCAGCTGTTAAGTTAGTAACTCGGTTGTTAAGTGAATCTGGCGTCCCCATTGACTTTATCAGAAGGTCACAAAAGTGATCACAGGACCCTGGGACACTGTAACCATCATAAATATGAGCTGCCAAGTGTCTGAATTTTGATCATGTGACCACAGGGCTGCTGTAACAGTCGTAAGGGTGAAAAATGGGCATTAGTTACTTTTTTCAGTGCTGTTGTAACTTCAAGCAATCACAAAACGAATGCTTGTAAGTCAAGGACTACCTATGTCAGATGATAGAAAGCCAATCTATATAAATAAAAATGTAAATGTTCGTTTGTTCAAAATCTTAAATCTCCGAAAGTTCTTCACCGATTGCTTTGAAATTTTGACACAACGTTGCATTTGAATACGCACGTATTTTTATATACCTACTATTATATAGATGTCACACCTGTGACAGGTAAAAACATGCTTTTTTGAAAAACAGCACCATCTGTTGGACGTAAAAGCAACACACGCTACGATTTATATCTATATCTGCACAGACAATGGAACAACAAAAAATAATGTATACCCACAAGCATTATGAAATTAAACATATTACAAACGTGCGCTTTCTCTTTTCTTTCTTTTCCATTTAACCAGACTGAGCCACAGCAACGCGTGGCCGGGTACAGCTAGTTAATTACTAAAAAGCAGAAGTGGGAAATTCCTTCTCACACTATTTAGGTGGTAAATATATTCAAAGACTGAATTTCTTCA